ACATTTGAAACAAGATAAATGGTCTATGCTTAATTTCATAAAGTGTGCGATTAATCACAGTAAAAGGGTGTAATTAATTAGATTAAAAATTTTAATCTATTGCCAGCCCTAATATATATATATATATATATAGTGGCATGCGAAAGTTTGGGAGCCCCTTGTAGAATCTGTGAAGATGCGAGTAATTTTAACAAAATAAGAGAGATAATACAACATGCATGGTATTTTTTATTTAGTACTGTCCTGAGTAAGATATTTTACATAAATTGTTTTTACATATAGTCCACAAGACAAAAAAATAGCTGAAATTATTAAAATGACCCCCTTCAAAAGTTTGGGAACCCTTGGTTCTTAATACTGTGTGTGGTTACCTCGATGATCTATGACTTTTTTTGTATTGTGATGGTTGTTCATGAGTCCCTTGTTTGTACTGAACAGTTAAACTGAGCACTGTTCTTCAGAAAAATCTTCCATGTCCTGCAGATTCTTCAGTTTTCCAGCATCTTTTGCAATATTTGAACCTTTTCCAGCTGTGACTGTATGATTTTGAGAACCATCTTTTCACACTGAGGACAATTGAGGGACTCAAACACAACTATTAAAAAAGGTTCAAACATTCACTGCTGCTCCAGAAGGAAACATGATGCATTAAGAGCAGGGGGTGAAAACTTTTTGAATTTGAAGATCAAGGTAAATTGAACTTAATTTGTCTTCCGGGAAACATGCAGTCATCTTCTGTTGCTTCCGAAGGGCAGTACTAAATATTAGATATTTCAACAAAAGAAGAAAAATTTGGACATCTTCATCCTGTTCAAAAGTTTTCACCCCCGGGACTCATGAACAACCATCACAAAACAAAAAAGTCGTAGATCATCGAGGTAAACACACACAGTATTAAGAACCAAGGGTTCCCAAACTTTTGAAGGGGGTTATTTTAATAATTTCAGCTATTTTTTTGTCTTGTGGACTATATGTGAACATCTTTTATGCAAAATATCTTACTCAGGACAGTACTAAATGAAAAAATAACATGCATTTGTATGATCTCTCTTATTTTGTTAAAATTATTCACATTTTCTGCAAGGGGTTCCCAAACTTTCATGCC